TTATCATGCAAATGAGATAATTAATATGCATGGACTTCTACCAAAACCTAATAAAATCTGCATATTAAGTTCCATCAAAAACCAACATGTAGTTCTTCAGATATCAGTTGAACGGACAGACACACACACACACACACACACACACGCACACGCATACAGACAGACTGACTGACTGCAAACACTCCCATTGTATGCTTCGCACACGGGAATAAAAAATATAAAATGAAATGATTTATGAATTATTAACTGCAACTGAGATGCGCCAGCCAAGCTGAATAAATGTCACACCTGGGAGACAATAAAACCGTAATAGTTTACAGTTTGAGTTATTGTTTTGTCATGTCAAATTTAAGTGATAATGATATTATTATGTTGGTATAAGTCTCAATGTAGAAATAACCAGGATGTACAGCAGTATAATAATAAACCCAATTACTGGGCCTAATACGGCTGGATGGTAAATCGCCTGCCAATCTGCAAATGCTGGACTCAACTCTATATTGGGACATACCTAGAATACAACAAGTGACTCTGTGTAGCTAACAAGAATCAAGCAGTCTACAGACTATAAGACTTTCAGACTTCATCCAAACGAACACAAATTACTTACTCTATATTGTAAAATATTACCACTAAATATGGCAGGATCTGTCCATGTGAATCTGATGCTGTTTTCAGTCGTGCTTTGTACATCAATGCTGGCAGGTTTACGAGGAACTGTTAAATATGATAATTAGATACATTATTTGCAACAAATAAACACACATGTACTATGTAAAGTAAATAGTTAAGATACATAACATACTTGTTTCTGTTGTCTTTGTATTTATTTCATTACTGTATTCACCTTCCCCAACACTAGTAGAGGCAGACACCTGAAAAGAAACATAATTTTATGCAGTAATATGTAGCTTACAATATGAAATTGAATAATAATAATAGTTTTTATTGAAGTCGTATCCTGAAAATGGACATATATTTGTAGATCTAAGTACAATAAAGCATGGCTGTCATCCCATGTTATAAACAGTCAGAATAAAATAAAAAACATACATCTAGAAGAAAAAAAACTAAACAAAACTAAAACAAAATAACAACAAATGGGTTAGAAATGCAAATTAATAATTTAGTTAATGTAAGGATTACTCAGTTTTTTGTGTTTTTTTTTTATTTTTCTTTCTCTTAGGTTGAAACATCCATGTATGTACTTTTGTACTACAACTCTGTTGTTTTGAATTTATTCCTAATCAGTCGTGTATTTTTTCTATCAGTCATGTATTTTTCTATATCTTTGCAGTCGCATTATGGGGGCCGCACCAGGACCATAGGTTAATATTGTATTGGCAAACAGCTCTGTGGTTTTGGTCGAGTCCCCTCCCCCTTTTGCCAATAAATAAGCTTTAACGTATATGAGATCTTGTGTCATAAATAAAGCTTGTATCAGTGTTGCCCTCAGAACACAGTCTAATTGTGTTGTCTTTCATGTTTGTATAGCTGACATTATAACAAAAAGTGCTCTTCATCTTCAATATCATCATAGTATGACTGTTCACAAAATGCAACCACTTCAATGATGATGGATCTACTATAAACATTCGATCTCACCCAAACTGTATTACAGCCAACTCACAACAAAGGACACATTCTTGACTGGCTACTCCATTGATCTGATGACAATCATGCAATGTCCACTAATGTTTCCAATGCCATCGCCTCTGATCATTACTGTGTTATTAGTCGCCTTAACATCACTGAACCGAAACCATTCAGTACTCATGTGACTGCTCGTAACATTCGCTTTATAAATCGTTCTTCCCTAAACAATGATCTGCACAACAGTGTTTCTGGTCTTCATCCACTGACTGATGATAATTTTAATTCACACTTACGAGCCATTATTGATAAGCATGCTCCAGCAACTCGTCGCCCTGTTACATCGCACAGGAATGCCTCTTGGTTCAGTGCAGTCAGCACCGAATTAAAGGCCGCCAAGCAACATCGCCTCCGTGCATATAGCCTGACAAGTTGGCGTAGGTGGCGCCCTGGACTGCTGCGATCCCCACCATACCTAGTTTTGTTCAGCTTTTTTTTTCATTTTCCTATCTGCACTTTCAATGCCCTCGTTGACACCTCGCGTGGTATTTACACTTCCCATCCTCACCACCCCTTTGAAAGACCGCTACGAATCAGTATGTACACATAACCATCAGCCACGGTGTCTACTCCCCAGTAGTACCGCCGACCACACACCGACGCCCTCTACGCCACGGTAAATGATAAGCGACCTAAATTTCAACATACTGGCTCTCCCCCGGTTTGTTGTTAACGCCGCCGCCAATCACAATAACAATGTCGTCTCGCACCTCCTCCCTTTCCCCCGCCAGTCCTTGTTATTTCCGTCGATATATTTCACACCATTCCTACAAAATTTCTCAACAGACTTTTTGAGGATCCCCCGAAATGATCGACGCCCCCCTAAAACCTAATATAACGTTCCATTAGTATGTTTAAGTGACAACTCGCATTTATTCCAGCCCAATAAATCGCGAGCCACTTCTCGTTGGCCGTTCCCCTACACTGGGTGTATAGGTGATTACTCTATTTTTAATAGACTTTTACCTGACTGAGACTCCAAAAGTGGCTGTTTATTCCCATTAATGTACGAGTAGGTTTACGTTACGAAGACACACTACAAATTTGACAAGTATTACATTGTAAGTGTTTTTTTCCTGTATCACAATCATGGGTTGTGTGTTTCATAGTGTACATGTGTTATATAAGTCTTTTGTGTAGAAGGAAAATGAACAAATGATAAGAACTGTTTAGAACAAAAAGCATAATTACCCGTAGTAATTGCTGACATTTAGGATGCCTAATGAAAACTGTCTTTGATATCGCAAGTAAGCATCATATTTATGAGTATGAGACAAAGAGTGGTATAACTTACTATTATAGTATAGTCAACTTGGTAATCCAGATTATCTATATTGTGTTCATGGGAATTACCATTATCTATTGATATATCCTTTTTAGTACTCTCATCACCTGTTTTCCAATATGTTATCTTGTAGGATGTTATTATACCATTCGGTGGGTCTGGCTCTAACCATGT